TGTATTTTGTGTAAGCAAAATTAAAAAGGGGGGGGGGGGGGGGGGGGGATTAGCGCACTTTGTCATTCCCACTTTGGGTGCCAGAGGACCTTGTCCTGGAGCTGCAGGTAAGGTTCATGGGACCCCAGAATGTGGGATCATCAGTAGAAAACTCCCATGGGATCCAGAACAGCTTGGACTTTTTACACTGCCTGGCAAAGAAAAGAAAAGAAAAGAAAAAAAAGTTGCACACTCAATTATTTCTTTGGACCGCCTTTAGCTTTGATTATGGCACGCATTCCTGGTGGCATCATTTTGATAAGCTTATCCAATGTCACAACATTTATTTCCATCCAGAGTTGCATTCATTTTTCACCAAGATCTTGTAGTGATGATGGGGAAGTTGGACCTCTGCGTAAAGTCTTCTCCAGCACATCCCAAAGATTCTCAATGGGGTTTAGGTCTGGACTCTGCGTTGGTCAATCCATGTGTGACAATGATGTCTCATGCTCCCTGAACCACTCTTTACAATCCGAGTCCGATGAATCCTGACATTGTCACCTTCGAATATGCCCAATGTGCCATCAGGGAAGAAAAAAAATCCATTGAGGGGAACACCTGGTCATTCAGTATATTCAGATAGGCAGCTGACCTCATTCTTTGGGGACATAACATTGCTGAGCCTAATGAAGCAACCCCAGATCATAACACTTATCCAATGGATTTGCTTGGCTTAAAGCCAGGTGGTGACTTTGCTGTTTTAAAAGGCAGTGTATTACAAGTCATTATGGAGAGGTAAGCAGATATATTATTTGATGGCCATCATCTTCCTCTTTAGGTTGCGTACAGGATATGTGTGTTTTTTTAAAAGGTGTGTTAGCTTCCCAGAATCTGGGATTTCTCCAGCTCTAATATACAAGATGATGTTACATTTTAATCCTAAATACAAGCAGACTGAATATAATATAATATTTAATAAGGTGTTCTACCTGGAAAGATGTCGGAACACAGAACACATGCAGGTTCTCATTCTTCACCCTTTCAGCTAAAATATAAAAAAAAGTTAACAACGTCACCCGTGTACAGACAGCAGTTATAAACATAAGATTATATAATATAAATAAAACAAACCTAATCGAAAATAGAAATGCACATTTTAAACCTAAAGTCTTTCAGGTTTTGGCAATTGTGCCGATTGTCAGCGCAGCTCACGCCATACATAGTTGACAAATCAAAGATGGCCACCAAAATTTCTTTCTGGCTTCGATCTGTACAGCTACGAAATTCTGTCATGCATAGTAGCCATGATGCACATTTAGCAAGGTGCCAACATTTAGGGGTCAGTTTTTGGTGGCTGCAGGAGAGTTAAACCACCTGCCATTTTCTTCCATTAGGTTCCACACTTATAATTATCAGTTTTGGGTGCACTTACCCTTGAAAATTACTTATGGAGTGAGTTGTAATTTTTCCTTTATCTGCATTGGGCTTATGTAATGGTGGCATTTTATATGCCAACACCGCTTTGAATGCACTCCGATTCAACTGTTTAACAGATCAGTCACTACATGTCTCATTTACCAAGGGAGTGACCCGGTTTTACATTCCTGCATTGTACACGCTCTACCAGCTACCAGATCTTTTACCTGGCCGGTTAGATTGCAGCTCCTAGAGAAAAAGTTTATGCTTAAAAAAGAGGAAGTCATGTTTTCAAATTAGATCATCTGAATTAAAACACCACCCTCCCCAATTTAAGGCAATTTTGTGCTTATATACCAAAAGTGTAACTCCATCCATTTACTTCAAGATATTAGTTATTGCCATCTTTGTCCCACTTGGGGAGATTTCCCTATACTTCCTATTGCAATGACCATCGTTTGAAGTGAGACATTTTTCCAGAAGTGGTCACAGACTGTATGAAAAATCACAAGTTTTTGGCACAGTGAGGAGAGTTTAAAATCTTTGGCAGGATCCAGAAGTTAGATTCACTTCAAATTATTTGTCAGCTGCAGTAACAGGAAACCTACTTAACAGCTTCATTGATGACAAAAAAAAATCTAATTTATGTGGATACTTAGTGACACTAAACTCAGGATTTAAAATTTAAAAAATGCAAGTACCTTAACTATTTAAAAAAATGTATCTTATTTGTGTATCACTGGGCTGTACATCCTCCAATCTCTGAATTGGTGCTGACACTGTCCTTCCTTCTGGAGGGTGGCTACTTTTGTACCCTATGGTCCCTGTGTGTGTTGTAAAGTAGTCATCGCTCCAAGCTCGCCCCCGTGATACACTACAATCTCAATACAAATTAGTAAACTAAACATAAGATTGTAGTCCCATCAGGGGAGTGAGCTTGGAGCGGTGACTACTTTACAACACACACAGGGACCATAGGGTACAAAAGTAGCCACCCTCCAGAAGGAAGGACAGTGTCAGCACCAATTCAGAGATGATTTGAGGATTTACAGCCGAGTGATACACAAATAAGAGACAAATTTTTGTTAATAGTAAAAAAAGTACTTGAATGCATTTTTAAGAACTTCTGAGTTTAGTATTATGGCAAATTCACCCTCTACGCAAGGTGTAACAATAGGCTTAGCAGACCATAAGTCTGCTCAGAGGCCTGGAGTTGGTGGGGAGAGCCCAGTTAAGAGGCAATTTAAAAAAATTAATCCTGTGTACATGTAAAACATAACATATCCACCGCTGTATTATTAAGGATTGCAGAGATTGCTGATTTATAACCTCCAGAGCTTGTGGTCATCCTGGCCAGCACTGAGACTAAACTCTGTATGCCTAAAGGTGCCCATACACCTTACAATTATCTGCAGATTTTCTGTGGTCAGATGGAAAAAGTGCAACAGATTGGCCCAGGTGGAGATTACTCCATCCACACAGTTAAGTGTAGATGGAGGAATCTGTTGCACCTTTTCTATCTGACCACAGAAAATCTGCAGATAATTGTAAGGTGTATGGGCATCTTAACACAGTCTTACTCAGGCAGTAAAAACCCCAGAGTGTCTCCTCCGCTAATCACCAGCAACTGTTTTTAGGTCTGTAACAAAACTCCACCGTTTAAACATGTTTGTATTAGGGTTACAAATTACGTGCAGAAATACTAACAATCATGTCATAATATAAAATATTTTGATGGTCATTATTATTGCTACTGCAACTGGTCTTTTCTTTGCCCATATAATGTTCTGTTGGGCCCTTTCTATTAAACACCAGGTGTCAATGAGCAGAAACACAGTTAAAGAAGAGACAAAAGCAGAGTAGGGATCTCCAAACCTTTCCATGAGGCCCCTGGTGTTTTATTATAGTTTGCATTTGGAATACGGAGTATGCCAAGCTTGATTGTAAAAGGTTGGATGGACCATTTCAACAGAAAAGCGTCCTTTGAGATTATTAAAAGCTGAACTCCAGGATAAGCACATATTACCCTATTACAAGATCCATCTGCATTCTTACTTAAATGTTGGTGAGCTTTGTGTATTTCTTCCAGATCCAGTGTAAAACTTTGCCACTGTGCAGGAACCTCCAGTAATAAAAAGACTGGTCACTGCTGCTCTCTCCCCTTATGCAGGGCATCTGGTCTGGTCTCTTCCCACTCCTGTACTTTTCTACAGGCAGCCTGTAGTAGGTGGAGCCTGTTGAAGCCCCCCCCCCAACCCAACCCCGCCCAGACTATGTAAAGTACAGTGCTGCTGTCACCGCTTCTTTAACAAGGTATTATCTGGGCATGCAAAGGCATTTGGTGCACAAAAAATGGATATCCTTTGTGCCTATTAAGAAATATATTTACATACACGTTTTAGTGCCCGGGGTTCACCTTTAAAGCATTATATATTCCTGCAATAAAGGCTATGAAGAAATAAAGAACAAACCTTAACATGATTGTCCACAGCAGCACATCCCGCCAGCCTCTTGGCCTCTTCCGTCATCCTGCAGATGGTAGTGAGCAGCCGACGCTGGATCATGCAGTTGTCACACGGGGATCTGACCGCACGTTGTCACAGCTTGCCTGGGGAGAGAGAACACATGAGAATGAGGAATACAGAAGTATGAACTCTTCCCTGTCCTCGTGTGCACTGATAACTCTTAGCTTCCTGTATTAGCATTGATCTGTTTATGCGAGTCAATGCTCGTGTTTGTATACACCCTTCTTCATAACAAGCGTACACTTGGCTGAGATTCCGATTGGACACCTCTACCCCGCTACTTGAAAGGCAGATATTTTAAAAAGGTGCTTCTGAAAAAAAAGTTAAGGGCAAGTCATTGCTTCTGATCTGCTTTTTCAGCCACATACAAATCAGTGTAAGGCTTGGTTCACACCTAGGCAAATCGAATATGCGCGTGTGTCGCACAATTCACGGTAAAAACCGTGCGACAAACGTGCGTTTCCGAGGGCTACTTGGCTGTATCCCAATGGAAACACGCGACAAAAATGCCCCAAAGAAGCTCCTGTACTTCTTTGGGCGTAGGACGTTTTGTAGCGCGTTCATATGGCCTGTAATACGCCCAGGTGTGAACCATACCCATAGGAAATAATGGGATTTTGGTATTTGAGCGCTTTGCAGAGCATCGAACGTGCTACAAAACGCCCAGGTGTGAACCGGGCCTAAAATGAAAAGCAGCTGAAAGCAACTTAGAAAGTAGCCAGATGCAATTTCAAACCAACCCCAAGCAACTCACAAGGCAAGTCAAAGAAGCATAAAAGCATTTCAAAAAACAAACGGTTACATCTCCTGGATCAACACTCCATAAGGTTTATTATAAAATCAGCCATGTTTTGATTTCAAAAATTAGAGTTAGGACCACACTACACAGAGAAGCCTTGACGAGGCGGTACGGCTTCAAAACATATTTTGCCCAAGATGTGCAACTAAAACCTGTTTTTAAAACGCATACTGTTAGACAGTCACATTTGTTTTATTGCAGGGTAGCTGGTAAGTGTGCTGGAAAACTTCTGGATTTTGCATTGATGTAAGCCCTTCCATGTGCACCTTGCTATTAAGGCTAGTTATAAATTGTGCGCTTGCCATTTATTTGTACCCTGTTGTGATCCCTGCCTAAGCAATGCCCTCCAGCGTGTTTCACCAAAGCTTAATTGTAGCGATCGAGCCCGGGTGGGTGAAAGGCTAGGCTCGAGCCCGGGTGGGTGAAAGGCGTTACGGTTAGTGGGTGGTGCTCAGACAAGCATTACAACATGGAGTTGTTGATTTTATAATAAACCTTTGCAGAGTGGAAGATACCAGAGATGCGATCGTTTGTTCCTTTGAAGTGTTTCTAGAGTCGAGACAAGCTTGTATGGTCAGCACCTGGTTTTCCAGGCTGTGTGAAATTCTATTCTCAGCGATGAGATGGTAATTTTACATTTCATTGGACTCAACGAAAAAAATAATGTCTCAGCGCTATTCTCCTTGTAACCAGCAGCTGTGCCAAAGCGAATTAACAATTATATATTAAGAAAGTGCACTGCACTCAATAAATAACAATCTACCCTATATACACACACATAATCATAAAAAAGTGGGAGCAATATGAAAAAAAATGATATCTATCTCTATCATGTAAAGTCCCAATGAATAAACAACTACTGTATAATGTTATAAACCTTTGGGGCAGATATACCAAAATTATTTCAATGCATAACAGACCCAAAAGGGAGCAAATAAGAGACATTCATTGTGAGAATTTGTTTTACTCTTTAATTACCCCATTTTGATAAATGTATGCTCATATAGTACACTGGAGCAAGTTCTCCTTGCTACAGCTTATAACCAACAGTCCACGTTTAGCAGGTGACCTCCTATATGCAGTAGAGAAGTCATCATGGGCTCAGCAAAGTTTTATCGACCTGGATAAATAGGCACAAAATATCAGCTATCGGTGGACACTAAGTCGGGTTTAGGAAGCACAGTTACATTATAACACATATGAACAGTGTTGTGGTTGTGCGATAATTCTTACCACATTTCCCAAACCTTGCCCAATCAATTGGGTGATGACTGACCATATCCGCTGCATTTACTAAAGAGGCTTTGTAATACAAAAACAGGAACTTCACCCTGATAACTAAACACATTTTGTCTATATGCCATTATTCGGCTTTCAACTCTATCAGACTTGAAAAGAAAAAAAAAAGGGGGGGAGAGAAGGATGGCATTAGAAAACATTTGGATAGCTTGGACAGCAGCTTATATGATGGGTCCCGCAGAATGGTTATACACCCTTATTTTAGAAAGAACTTCAAATTCCTGGCTTTCCGATTAGCCGGGAGGCGTGTAAAGACTGGCCACCCAGCTTTCCGACCAGATTATGAGGGAGCATGAAGCCAGCTTTCTGGCCAAATCAGGAATCTTGGCACTGTGTATTGACACATTGCCCGGCTTCCTGATTGTTCAAGAAATCAGGAAGCCGGGTAACGCGTCATTACACGGCAGCCGGCTTCCCGATTGGCTGGGAAGCAGGCTGCATGGTACCTCATCACCAGGTGACAAGGGAGCATGAAGCTGGCTTTCTGGCCAATCAGAAAGCTGGAGGGCATGTAATGACACACTGCCCAGCTTTCTGATTGGCTGGGAAGCCGGCTCCATGCTCCCTCGTCACTTGTGACGAGGGAGCATGGAACCAGCTTCCCGGCCAATTAGGAAGCCGGGCAGTGTGTGATGACTCACTGCCCGCCTTACTAATACCATAAGCTTAAGTATCGTGCCAGGCATTGGAGCATTTGGGTGAGTACTCACCCAAATACTCAGCATCGGCACTGGTATTGGTATATCCCTAGTATTCAGTATACAGACAGAGGCTGTATCAAAGAAAAGCTTGTGAAATATAAAGATGACGGCTGCCATTGTTGAGTGAGACATCAAACCACTTACCAGAGGTGCCTTGACATAGCAGTGTGGCTGTAACGGGTGTTTGCAAATGTGTGGAACTGAATCCTGTTTTTAACCTGAATAGTTGAAACAGTCCAGCTAAGAGAGAGATTTTACACTGCTACTAGATAATTCCAGTATCTAGAACCGCAGCAATCTAAAACAACAACACAGAACAATAAGCTCAAATGAGCTGAAAAGGGGGCAAATAAATCAGAGAACAGCCAGCAAACAGAAAATATATTTTTTAGATGTAAAAGCAAATGTTCCCTTTTGTCTGGCATCAGCAGTGCTTAGTCTGTGAACATGGTCTAAAAAAAAAAATGTTTCTATGGATTCTAATGGCAGTTTCTCTCTCTATCTATATATAGAGTTCCTATAAAAAAGGAGTTGTCCCTCAGGAATTTTTTTTTTTTTTTTTTTTTTTTTAACACCGTTCAACAGAAACAGACTCTCGTGTATTTAATTACAACATATGCCGTGTGTGTACAAAGACTATGACAAAAGAGATGGTTTGCACAAGCAATTTAACAAAAAAATTGCAATTTAATAAAAATAATTGCCATATAAAAATACAGTGACGGCATGAATATATGTATTAAATTGGAACTGAAGCCTTTAAAAAAAACTACAACAGAAAACAAAATAAATAATACTAATAAATACTTGCTAGGAGAAAGATTTTTTTGGTAGAAGAGACACTGAAGGGAATTTACGAAGAATGGAGCAGACAGAATCTGGTGCAGCTGTGCACAGCAACCAATAAGCTTTGAAAATGAAAGCCAAAAGCTCAACTGAACAAGTTGAGAATTGAAGCCGGGTGCCAAGATAAAATAACTTCATACACAATAGATCACTGGTTACCCAAAACCCAAAGAATGAATGTTGGATGCCAACAGAGAAGGTGGCAAGGATGGCTATGGGGAGTACAGACCTGTCAGCGCTGGGGAAGAAAAACAGGAGAAGCATGTAAGATGTGTGCATGTGAGCAAGTATGCATGCACATAAAGGCAAGTGCTGCACTGGCCCACCAGTCTCAGGTTCTGCTTTAAGAACATTGGTATAAAGCTGATCCAAATTCTACAATACTTACCTCCAGTGATGCACACTCACGTTCCACTGCTTTCATCTTCACCCATTCTTCTCCCAGGTTCGGCATCCTCTGCCATCTTGAGTGGATGGCCCAGATGATGCAACTCCTGAGTTTATAATCTAATTTCTTGTAGCAGGTTTTAAGTGTCTGTTAATATAGGGTCATATAATGTGCATAACAGGAGATTCAACAGATCAAATTCAATCTTTTAGTAAATTGTAAACAGTACTTTAGCTTGAAGATGATTGAATGATGGTAATCTGCAGAACTCCACCTTATGCAATAAGAGAAGGCAAAATTCCCTTGCAAAGTGAACAGCCTGTCCAAAAAGCAAAAAGGGGAACCCCCGCTTCCCCTGCCTCAACCAAAGGGGTGCTCCACTTCCTATACCTCATTTATAGCAAAAGGGTCCCCCGCTTCCGCAGCCTCGCCAAAAGAGGCCCCCCAATTCCCCTAACAGAGCAAAAGGGGACCCCTGCATCCCTTGCCTCAGCCAAAAGGGTGCCCCATTTCCTATGCCTCAGCAAAAGGGAACCCCCGCTTTCCTTGCCTCAGCTACAGCAAAAGGGGTGCCCCACTTCCCCTTCCTCACCAAAAGGGACCCCCCACCCACCTCCCCTACCACGGCAAAAGGGGAGTCCTAATTCCCTGCCTCAGGATCGCCAAAAGGGGCCCCTACTTCCCCTACCACAGCAAAAGGGGAAGCCCCGCCTTCCTTGGCTCCGCCACTACAAAAGGGGAAGCCCCGCCTTCCCTGGCTCCGCCACTACAAAAAAGGGGAAGCGCCGCCACTACAAAAGGGGAAACACCGCCTTCCTTGGCTCCACCACTAGAAAAGGGGAAACCCCACGCTCCTCGGCTCAACCACTACAAAAGGGGAAACCCCACGTTCCGCGGCTCAACCACTACAAAAGGGGAAACCCCGCCTTCCTTGACTCCACCACTACAAAAGGAGAAACCCCGCCTTCCTTGACTCCACCCCTACAAAAGGAGAAACCCCGCCTTCCTTGACTCCACCACTACAAAAGGGGAAACCCCGCCTTCCTTGACTCCACCACTACAAAAGGATGAGCCCCACTTTCCCAGACAAATTTATCAAAATTGACAGTCTTTTCAGGAATGATACCTTACATAAGTCAGCTGCCCCCCAAATTCAAGTAACACTTCTTTTCGTCAAAAAAATCTTAGTGCAAAAAAAACACAAACAGAAAAAAAACCCTGAGCTCATGATATTTCCTCCCGCCCCCCAACTTTTCCCTTGAGATTGATAAAGATGCCCATACACCTTGCGTTTGCGATTGCGTTTGTGTCGGATATTCATAAGGTTGATGGGGAGTCTACAACCGCAAATATTGTACAATCGTACGACGGTCGTCTTTCCGGCATGCTAGAAAACTTTGGTCAATCGTACGATTTTCGCAAGGTTGGTGGGGTTTCCGTACGTCAAAATTCCTACGATTAACGCTGCTCATGCGCAAACGAAAATCTGTGTGGTCGATGATTGCAAGGTGCATGGGCACCTTAACACAACTATCCATCCCTCCCCCCCATGCCAAAGTGCTAGGTGTCATGCTTAACTCGGACCTCACCTTCCTTCCCCACATCCAATCGCTATATAAATCCTGCCGCCTTCACCTTGGTAAAATCTCCAAAATAAGCCCATCCCTCACCAATTAAACCACTAAGCTGCTCATCCACTCACTTGTTATATCTCGTCTTGACTATTGCAACTCCCTCCTCATTGGCCTACCACTACACAGGCTCCTCCCCCTTCAGTCTATCATGAATGCAGCTGCCACTCATTCACCTAACCAACCGCTCAGTGTCTGCAACCCCCCTCTGCTGATCCCTGCACTGCCTTCCAATAGCCCAAAGGATAAAATTCAAAATATTACCAACCACTTACAAGGCCATTCACAACTCTGCCCCCGGCTATATCTCAAACCTTGTCTCAAAGTATCACCCTAACCGTCCCCTCCACTCTTCCAAAGACCTCCTGCTTTCCAGCTCCCTCGTCAACTCCTCCCATGCTCACCTCCAGGACTTCACTAGAGTCAATCCCATCCTCTGGAACGCTTTACCCCAACTATGACTGCCTTAAGGTGATCCCTAAAACCTCATCTCTTCAGGGAAGCCTATCCCACCTCAACCTAACCACTGAACCATCACATTCTCAAACAACTCATCCCCACACAGCTACCTCCTCATGTATCACTGGCCCCTCCCTTTTAGATTCTAAGCCCGCAGGGGCTTCCTTACCAACTTGTCTTGAAATTGTATTGTGATTGTAATGTCTTCCTTATATTGTAAAGCGCTGCGCAAACTGTTGGCGCTATACAAATCCTGAAAAATAATAATAAATAGTGTAAATCTGAATCAACTTTTCTAAGTTGTATCTAAAAATCGTGCAAGACCATTTGAAAGAATTAAATCTCTGACTGGTTATCATTAAAGTACATCTAGGATCAGTTTCCAGTGAACAGACCCATTAACATCATAGTCAGCTCAGATCACTCACACTCATTCCCCTCCACAAGTCTTCAGTGCATACAGGGACATCTTGATACAAAGCATCATAAACATAACACATGAGAGTATCTTCAATAAAAGTGACAAAAATAAAGAATATGAGCAATCAGCACAATGTGATCTCCCTGTGTATCCCCCTTATAACCAGCAAATACAATGTAACACTGGGCTCTGCTACACTTACTGGGGAGAGGGATCCTCAGCTTCTGGCAATGTGATCACACAGCACACAACATGCTCCCTTCCCAGTAATGCTCTCGGTTATGTGACGTCAGGGAGGGGGCGGGGACAACTAGAAGGCTGCACTTAGTTGAGTCTGGATTGAAGTGACATGCCAGGTTATTGTCATTTGTCATAGGGAAGGGCTGGTGTGTCCCTCAGCTGCTGCCCGCTCACAATGTTCTGCTGTGCAGTACGTTTGTGTTGTTTTGTCTTGTTTAGATAAATAAATTCTGTTTTTGGCAACATTGTCACTTGTAGATGAAAGGTGCGTTTCTTAGTTTGTCCACTAGATGGCAGCATAGACTCTGCAATGGGAACAGCACAGGAAATCTAGCCAGTTCAAAGTGTAGCTGCAGCCAAAACTGTTGTTTTTTTTTTGTTTGTTTTGTTTTGCTTTTTGTTTTGTTTTTAATGAGCAAGGAATTGTTAATCTGGGTACACATGGATCAAAGTTTGATCCCTGGATGGCCCTATCTCCTTGACAAAAGTTGATCATTAAAGTGACACTAAACTCCGGAGATAGAAACACACTCAAGTACCTTGAAATATGAACAAAAATGTATCTTATTTGTGTATAATAACAATACTGGACCTTATTTGTATATCACTCGGCTGTAGATCCTCAAATCATCTCTGAATTGTTGCTGACAGTGTCCTTCCTTCTGGAGGGGGGCTACTTTTGTTCCCCATGATCCCTGTGTGTGTTTTGTTATCCCTGTGTGTGCTGTAGCCACCACTCCAAGCGTACTCCCGTGATGGATTACAATCTCAAGACAAATTAGTAAACTAAACATGAGATTGAAGTCCATCACAGGAGCGAGCTTGGAGCGGTGGCTACTTTACAACACACACAGGGATAACAAAGCACACACAGGGATCATGGGGAATAAAAGTAGTCACCCTTCAGAAGGAAGGACAGTGTCAGCAACAATTCAGAGATGATTTGAGGATCTACAGCCGAGTGATACACAAATAAGATACATTTTTGTTAATAATTAAAGGTACCTGAATGCATTTTTGAGATTTAACTCCTGAGTTTAGTGTCACTTTTACTTTATTGCTATTACATAAGGGGCTAATAAGCAACCTATGTGATAGCAATTTAGTGGCGACAGGTCCTCTTTAAGGAGACATGGGAGGTCTATTGTCACCTAGACCCCTATTGTCACCTTTGCAGCCCACTGAAGTTGATCAAGCACAGATCATGCTTGACCAGTTTCTTCCTTGGCCTCTCTGACCAGGGAACGTCCGTCTCAGAAACCAGAAGTAACAAAACACACACAGGGATCATGGGGAACCAAAAGTAGCCCCCCTCCAGAAGGAAGGACAGTGTCAGCACCAATTCAGAGATGATTTGAGGATCCACACAGGGCCGGTGCTGCCACTAGGCAAACTAGGCAGCCGCCTAGGGCGCACTGCTGGCTAGGTCGCAGCCTCGACCACTTACTGCCCCACGGTGCCCAACCCCTCTATTTCAAATTGCAAAAGCCAATAGCAGGCTTGCTCTTGCACCTGCCCACTGAGTAGAGGTAGAGGTACTTAAGTAGAGGAGCGGAACTTAAAGACAACTTTCTCTCTCAGGTTCGCTCCTCTGCTCAGTTGCTGGTGTTTCAATAGCCAGTCTGCTATTGGCTATTTCAAATTAAAATAGCCAATAGCAGTCTGGCTATTGTCCCGGCTGCTTACATCCAACTATCGCCTGTGGAAGTTAGCTGGCAGGAGAATGGAGCAGCGCAGAGTGGGGGATTGGGAGCTGTACCGCAGGAGGGGGGCTGGGGGGTGCAAGTAGCTGGTCTTGCCTAGGGCGCAAAATAGTCCAGCACCGGCCCTGGATCCACAGCTGCATTTTTAAGGTTTAATTCCTGAATTTAGTGTCACCTTAAAACAACTTTTGTTGAAGGAATGTGCTGGAAAACTGTCACCCGAACAGCTGCAGTCACTGTTCGGGGATTCTGACAGTGGCAGCCACTGGAGGAATCTGTCAGATTTCTCTTTGTTCAGCCTCGCAAAAGAAATCTCTCCCTGTGTACCCAGCTAGAACCACTGAGGAATAGTCACCATTTCTATTTGGGTAACCATTACAGAAAGTGATGGGAAATACAAAATGTTACTGTAGTCACTGGAATAGGGGGTAAGAGGAAATCTTCCAGTGGGGACACCTGTTCTAATATTCTTATAGGTGTCTTCCACTTTTTGCAGAAAATGAATATATGCACTTGTATTTCAAAAAGAAAAAAGTGCATTTTTTTTCTTTCATTGGAGCCTGCAAAACATTGCAACTGCAATTAGTCTGCTCCTGCAGACTGTTCCTTAAAACGCTGGGTCTATACCAAGGACCACTGCTTATGGAGCGAGAGAAAGCTATCAATGGACTAGAAGTGCAGTGACGTCACCCCACTTGTATTCTATTAAGTACTATAAGTACCTCTGCCGCATTGGCAGTTGTTTTTTTCATGCACGGATCCTGTTAATGGATCTATGACTGAATAACACAACTGTGTGGGGGAGCTACGGACAGCCACGACGAATCTGAAAATATACAGAAGCCTGTATGTTCCACGTTATACACTTAAAGGAGAACTATGAGGTGAGTGCTTTTCACTCACCTCATAGTTCTAGCTGACCTGTGACAATGAGACTGTCACAGGTCGGCTCAGTAGATCGGGAGGTGAGCGAACACATACCGGCGTTCGCTCACCTCTCGATCCTGTCACGGCTCTCTGCCGTGACAGGGGAGGGGCTGGATTCCCCCCTCCCCGCTCCGATCCGCCAACGCTGACTGGCGGAACGGACGGGGGAGGGGACGGGTACAGCTGGCTCTGCCTCTAGATAGGCAGAGCCAGCTGTCAGTCACGCAGCTGGGCGGATCCCGGCACAATTGTCGGGATCCGCTTCAGCTGCGGCGTCTCAGTATACCGCGAGCAGCATCTCTTAATATGGGTAGGGCATTGAACATGGTATGAAAGGTGGAATTGGCCTTTAACATTCTAAGAACAAGTTCCCCTTAGCTCTCTATTTGGACAATAGATGATTAAAAAAAAAACTCAGAGGGGTTTTAACCATTGCTTTCACCTTCCGAAACCTAAAAAAAGGTTTTGGGTTTAGATACACTTCAGGTTCTTCATGATTAGTGTTATGTAATATATGCGCAAAAGAAAACTGGTACTTAGTGCTTAGGGCACAGGTAAACTACTGTTACTGACCTCTACTTCTAAATTCTGATCGCCTGGCTTTTGTGGACTGGAAACTACTACCTCCACTGAGGCGATGGAGCCAGAGTCTCCTGTAACCCACGTATTCGAAATTTCAGAGCGGGCACCTGCGGCAGAGGATGCTGTTCATGTAGACTGCACTGTGATGGCTGTGGAGGGGTCTTTGTGTGCCCCTAAAGAGTCTTTTGGGTGCCTCTGCAGCTCTGACTCTGGTCCTTGTCTGTTTATTCCTCACCTTGTATTCGGGTGGGAGTTACTCTACATCCAAGAGGATGTTTTTGATTTAAAGGATAGTGACAGGACACATACAAATGCGCTATTGTTGGACCAATGTGCCATTTTTCGAATCCCTAAGCAACAGAGAGACAAAAGTGTGGATAGTCCTCTGGTAAGGGAGTTTCAGCACCAATGTAGAGTTCAGCCTGTGCTGACACATTTTCATAGACAAGGTACTATAGATTCATCCCCAGGCCGTGGAGTGTGATCCTCTCGGTCACCTGCCTCTACCCTTTGACAGGCAAGCTGCTCTGCATTTTGGATCCCCAGTTCTATATTTAGAATATGTTTTCTTCAAATGTATCTGTTGTTTGCAGTCATGTAATCTATATGTTTGCAGACATTCTGAATACCATGTCTGTTTTTGTTTCATTTATTTGATTTGATATATTGGTTATGACTGTGTCCTGTTGTCCTTAGTGGTGAGACAAGCTGTTTTACATGCTAGTTTGTGAGTGTGCCATGATGCCTTTCTACTGTTCTACTGTTCAAAGCCCATTTCGTGTGCACCTTACTGTACAACTGGTAACAAATTGTTGAGTGCGTTTGTCGTTTGTTTTGCTTTACCGATTTGGTGCAGCGACGCATGGGGTTTCTCAGCTGCCAATGGGATGTGCGGGATCCCTTGTGTGTTTCTGTACCTTTAAGGAGGTGGGGCGTCCTCCTGACAAGCCTGCACCCAATTTGATATCTTCTGCCCCATGTGCTCCAAGATGGAGACTCTCATAGTTTAGAGTTAGGACCGCACTATAAGAGGTGCCTTGGCGCGGCAGTGCGGCTTACACATCCTTTGCAGAAGACGTGTATCCAAACCTCTGTCATTGTCCTTAGTGGTGAGACAAGTTGTTTTACATGCTAGTTTGTGAGTGTGCCATGATGCCTTTCTACTGTTCTACTGTTCAGATATCTCCCACTTATATCATCTGGGCCCTCAAGGGAGAGGAAAGGTCTTAGTGCTGACCATGTGAAGCAGCCAGTTTAGGGCCTTCCCTTTTTGGGGGAATGCTGTCTGTTCTTCCGCAAGAAAGCTGGCAGATACTCACAAAAGAGTACCCCTGTAGTGGCCAAGGGAACTGAACTGGGCCTGCCATGGAAGTTGGAACCATTTTAAATATGGACTTTCTGTTATAATACCTCATATAATAAAGAGAAGTTAAAGATAATGGTGGACTAAGTCTCATTATTCCTGTGTATTGGAAAAGTAACCTTTTCAAACAACTCAACTCCCAACACATATATATTCTATAACTGGTGCTGTAAGGGATGCTAATCATAAAAAGAGATTACACAGATGTATAAGAGAATAACATTTAGTTAGACACCAAACATGCCTATGCTATAACGTCCGGCAGGCCAATTGGTCACAATAATTGTCCTATGCAATATATCTCCAACAGATTTATACAGTATGTCTGGTGTGTATACAGTTATAATTTTCTTATGTACAATAATATGTTGCTTGTTGGATTGTAAAACAGTGTCATCTGGAAATAAGGATTGGCATGAGTGCCAGTAGATGA